ACAAATGATGGTAGGAAAAATTTCCCATTCTGTAACAATTTCTTATTTTAGTAAAATATTTCTCTCATATTTCCTTATTATTACCTTAAAAATATTTTAGATGATACCTCAAAGTTAAAATATAAAAAGTCGGGTAAATTGTCTAGAAGGGAACGTGAGGAGGTCGATCGACAGAAGGCCGAATTGGAACTTTTAGTTATGGATTCCGAGGAGGAAGATCATAAGCATTTTGATATGAAAGAGATTATTAAAAACGAGAAAAGAAAGGGTAAAAAGAAAAAAGACAAAAGAGATGTTCAAGAATATGATGATGATTTCGAAATTAACGTTAATGACCCTCGATTTACGGCACTACATGAATCGCATCATTTCGCGATTGATCCTTCCAATCCACAGTATCCTTTTACTAAATTTTCTAGATATTACGATCTTTCTAGTTTATTCCATATATGCCCTTAATAATCGTAATTTTGTCAACAGGTTTAAAAAGACTAAATCTATGGGTAAACTTTTAGAGGAACGGCAACGACGTCAGATTGAGTTAAATAATCAGGAATCGAATACAAATTTCGAGGTAATTTAATTGATTATTTAATAAATAAAAATACGAATAATAACACGTTGCTAATTAGACCTTCTTATATAATAATATGAAATAGGAAATCTCAAACGATAAGAATTCAAATGTTCAAATTAAAGATTCTAGCCTATCATTATTAATAAATTCCGTAAGTACTTTATATGAATTAGAGGTTTTGAATTTCAATTAATATTAAAATATTCCACTGTTATAGGTAAAACGAAAGAGTGCATTAGCTACCGAAAGCAATCAAAAAGGAAAGCGTAGAAAAACCAAATCTTAAAATTTTTAAAATCAATTAGATATTTGGTTAACTTTTGATATTAAATTATTTACGTAATAAATTAATATTTGTAACAAAAACTTATATTATAATGTAAAATATATTTTCCAATTTTCGATTTTGATTGGCGGGTTGGGTTCGTTGTTTTTCTAACATTGAATGGTAAATAGGCAAAAGCTAAGATATGAAAGTCCTTTACGATTTTTATTAGGGATGGTCGTAACCTTAGGTATTATGATGAAAAGTTTTAAAGTTAGATGCTTTGTTATCGCATCAAGATTTTACAACTCGTCTGCCGGCTTTTGCAAATGTGAAAACTATCCTATTTATACAAAATTTTCGATTAACTTATACTCAATTAGATTAATCATTTTAATATTAATATATTAATTCACTACGAATTTTCTTTTTATACTTTAATAGTATCCAGTCTCATAATAGAGCTATTTAATATATATGATACTATAGCATTTAACTTTTATTATAATTGGATTTAATAATAAAGAAATATAGTTGATTATTTTCTAATAACTTCTATAATAATTTAAAACAAAATAAGAAAAGTATATTCAAACTTACTCAAAATTTATCCTTTTAGAAAGGATATCATTAAACAAAAATTCTGTAAATATTAAAACATTAAATAAAGTTTTTTGAAAATATCTTTATTTTATAATTAAATTTAATAAATATATTCATTTTTTTATTAAAATTTTTATGTTGATTTGATTATGATATGATCTATAATGATTATAAATAATAAAATTAATATAAATAATTTAGTTAATAAAAAACTTATAATAACAAATTATATAAGTTTAAAAAATTATGTAATAAAAATAAAAGATAATTGATATATATTCTATTAACTTTTACTATTTATAAGTTCTTTACTGAGACAATTTTATAAAACAGAAATAACCAATCCAATTTAATGCTATGAAAATAGAGCTACAAAATATAGTTCAAAAATTTAGTGAGTTAGAATCTGAATCTGACAAACATAAGAATGCTTTTTTTTAAGAAAACTTTTCTGTTAATAAATACATCTATGTTTAAATTCATATACATATAATATTTTTATTTAATTTAAGATATCCACACTTTAATGAATTGCATAAAGCAGTTATAGATACATTATTACCTTTGAATGATGATCAAAAATGTTTTCATTTAATTAATAGAGTATTACTTAAATGCATTGTGAAAGATGTATTATTAGCTTTGCAACAAATTATGATTGGAGTAATTTGTATATACATTATATTATAAAAATAAAGATTTAGTAAATTAATATTACTTTATTAATAATAAATTCTTAAAAGTTATTAATAAGCAGATATGAATTATTATTTTATTTTTATTTTATTTTTTTTTTACATATTAAATATAAATGATAATAATATATATTATCTGTTCTTCAAAGAAATTTAAAATTATATAGTATCTTTTTTTATTATTATTTTTTTTAAATATTTTAGATTATCAAAAAGATTATTAAAAAAAAATCCTAATAATTTATATTTATATTGAATTATTTTAAATTAATCAAATACATCATTTTCAAATTTCTAAAATAAATTCCTCATTCTTGTATAATTTTGATTTTCAAGAATTTGAAGAATCAACAGATCAGATATCGGATATGCGAAAAATGCTAACTTTATTCAAATATGTGAAAGAACATGTAATTGCGAAAATTTTCTATTCGGATCAAGAGATTATAATTTACGCGATAATATTTTCTAAAATACTTTGGCATGGGGAAACTTCTTGAAAAGATCATAGCATTTAAAGTCACATGATATTTGAGTAACATTCTGATTTTTGCCGAGTTAGGTTAGATCTAATAAATCTAGCTGAAGAAAAATCTATTTGTAGATACCCTATATTTCTCTTATAAACGCGTTATAGTGTCAAAATGGCAAGTGCGATACCAGGAGGATTACAACAACCATTACAAGGGATGTCCTATAACAGCCCTTCTTCTAAAGATCTTTTTCGCTTAGCTAATATTACGTATCAGCCACAAACAGAAGTATCACCTACTTATGTTGCGGACATACTTAGCAAGGCTACGACGACTTTAATGACAAAGCTTACGTTCACATTCTCAATTATTGATAAACCACAAGGTATTTATACGTTTGATCTCCAAATTATAAACAAACCCCACTTTAAAATATGCTGTACCTGTTTTATTTCATACAGAAGGACAGATATACCTCATATCTCTAGCTCCAAACGCGGTGGAAATTCCATCAGATGGGTATGTACCAAAAGTATGTTTTCACTTATTTGATAGAATACATTGATATATATTTTTTAAAAATAATCTATATTAAATGATTTAATTTTCAATTTTTATTCTTAATTTAATGAAAAGTTATTATTATTTGGATAATGAACGAACTTCTAAAACAATGCTGCCGGATGGAAGGGTAAGCTTGCACCCTTTGGTATTCTAAAAGTTTAAATTACATATCATTTTGTGATTCTAATCTTTTTTTTTTTTTAATTTAAAGGAATTGCTTTGTATGGAAAGGTCACAAGGTTTCGCGCCAGGTGATCAAGTAACAAGCAAAGTTAGGAGAAGGTATCGATTCGCCAATGATCACCAAGAACTTCAATTACTACATTATGCTTCACTTGACGAACGTCGTAAGTTAATTTATAACATTTTTTTTTAAACTTATTTATCTTTGATGCTATGAGTTTGAGTGTGCAAACCTATTTTTTATAGGGTATTCATTATTCTAAGGAAAATTATATAATGCGTATAGAGCGGCAAATGGTTCAACCATATACAAGACATCCAACACCAGGCAGATATATTATGCCACCTATGCAAGCGGGCATGAATCCTTATGCGCGACCATCAAATTCTATCTCACCTATGGGTATTCAATCACCTGGTCCATCATCGATTCATAATACACCACCTGCTGCTATGGCGCGTGGTCCTGTTACAGGTAATCTCACACCAATGGGTAATTCTTATCAATTTCAATCTCGCATGACAGGAAATAGTAATCAACGTGGAATACCGCCAGGAATGGTCATGCAAACTCCAACAAAATCAGTAGGAAGACGCACGAAAGGTGCTAAGGTATAGAAGGGTAATTATTATTATTTATTTATTCCTAAATCTAAATTCTAATGAGAAATGTCATTAAATTCAAATTAGAATAAAGCTTCTGTCACATCCGTTACCGCTGTTGCCGAAGAAATTGATGAACCATCAGGAGGTACAATTACAATTTTTTATTCTTTCTTTCTTTGAATTTTATCGGTGATATCCACTAACATTTCCTTGATTATCATTAGACGAACTTGACAATTTGAAATTTAAAGAAGTTGCGATGTCAAGGTATAGAAGGAATCACGATTATATCTCCGAGGTTTTTTCCGCGTATAGCGTTAGTAAGTTGTTATTATTAATTTTCTTTCAAATAATATTCAAAAACTTATTCTAAAAAAAAAAAAAAAAATTTGTTAGGTTCCATAATTCCACCTACTTCAATTTATCAAGAGAAGGATGTTGATGAACTAAAACAACAATTGGTTGGTTATATTCAATTTAGATTATTTTATACACTTGATAGTTGTTTTCAATGAGTTAATTATTGACATACCAATTAGACTTTACATCAATCAGATATCGAAAAGTTAAAGAGTGAACATTCAAAAAAGGTCGAGGAATTCAATCGACATTCTAATATTCTATCAAAAAGTATGAACGATCTTAGCAAATGTAACAGCATGGAGGTAAGTTAGTAAATTTTAAATTTTATATTTCTCATAAGCTTAACGTATTTACATACTTTTACATCAAAGGAATTATTGAAGTTACAAGAACGAACCGAGAAAGAATTAGATATTGTAATTCAGCCTTATAATCCGATTACATTAATACAAATTCATAATGGGCCAGAATCCGATGTGGAAGATGAGGGTCATACTGACATGATGCAAGATGATGTAATAGCTGGAGAGTTGTTAATAGAAAGAAATCCTGAACACAGAGGATTAGTTGAACTTGATCAAGAACTTTCATCTTATGGCGATTTAGTGAATACACACAATACTTCGGGAATCGAAGAAATTGAAGGATTTGAAGGATTAAAGGATATTCAAGGGATCGAAGGAATTGGAGGAATAGGCACTTCCGGATTACATGAGAATGATTTGCAAAGGTATTTTAGTCCTGCTAACATGCCTGGTTTAGCAAATGAATCAAATCTTCAACTCGGTGGCCTTACTGGAGATACAAATATCGGAGATAATCCGAATTATACCGGTGATCCGAACATGACTATCAACACCAATTTTGGAGGAGATTCAACTCAGATGTTTGATGATTTTATAAATAATCCGGATGAATCTATGGACGATGAAATTCCATTGGCATAATCTTGAATTAGTAAGTCTTAAATAGTGAATTTCATTTTCGCGTTTATTCTATACATTTATTAAAATTAATGATTTGTTGATAATGTAGGTATGTTTCATTTTAAAAGTTTTGGAAATTGTAATTATAATATTATTATATTATATTATATTATAGAATGTTAAATGTTCTTCAGTGTTATTAAAATCTGTTAAAAACCTTAACAATTACAACTTTATAAGCTTTAGTAAATCATCTATATTATCGTCCTTCATAAACTTCGGCAACCCAAGTTTTAATACCCTTAAAATCATTTTTGTCAACAGAACATTTTTCAAAACAAATCTCATTTTCTAAATGTTCAAATTTAAAATTTTCATTTTCATAACCTAAGAATTCTACATTATCTGTTATAGAAGTATCCTGATGATCCAAAGCTGAAGTACGCGTATTTCGAAGTTGGTTTCTGATTAACATAAATTTAATAAGTGTTAAGTAAATTTTTAATTATAAAAAATATTTTCGGTTACATACAGTTCATTTTCCAATATAGTTTGAATTCGTTCAGTTGGTAATGCTGTAATCATATCACTTTTATTACAAGCGATTAAGATTGGTATATGATGTTTTATAACGTCCTTGTTTGAAAATATATCATAAAGATACCTAACATAAATTTTGATTAGTAAATTTTTTTTTTTTTTGGTGAAATTTAATAAGATTTATATTTTTTCTTTACTTACTCGGCTATTGACCGTACATTTTTTACACACGTTGAGCTATCAATAAGAAATATAATTCCACGTGTAATTGGTATAAAATCAGAAAACCTAAATCGTAATTTTTCGTGTCCTGGTACATCAACAAAATGTATTGGAACTTTTGTTAATGGCTCTCCCTAATTTTATAGATAAAAAAGTCAGTTAATAATAAGATTCATCATAGGGATAACGTTAATTTAGTACATACATCTTCTTCAAGTTTGATAAGTCCTTCGTTTTCTTTCATTGATGTGTGCGTCCGTACTTGTTCTCCATATCTTAACTGAATAAACCGAGAATATAAGTCGCGTCAATATGATATTTAAATTTTTTTTTTTTTTTTTTTTTGATACATACTTTGATGAATAATGAAGTTTTACCAGAATCTGATAATCCTAATATAATGAAGGTATCTTTTTTTGACCGATTCTTTAATACCTTGAATGCAACTTTTGGTATAATGTGTGGAAATCAATAATTTGAATATGTATTTTGAAAAAAAAAAAATGTATTTATCAAAAAAAATAGCGTACTTGAAATAATTGCTGTAATCAATATTGCCAAAATGACCCATGTAGCCGTTGACAATTCCATTCCGGAAAAGATTAGAACTTAGTAAAAAAAAAACCGAGGAAAATATAAATTCGTAAGAACAAAAAAAAATAATTTAGTAGGCAGATCTAAATTTGACCAATTTGTAGATTGCATAAATCCGGTCAATTGAAAATCCCAAGCACCGTTCATGTGCTTATGTTTTAGTAGCTTCCGATTAATTTCGATCTTTTAGAATTATTTTGCATCACGTGACAAATTTAAATGCCGTTCTTTGAAAAATAGAAACATATTTTTTTTCACTAAGGGCAGTGACATATATTACCTAATATCATTTAATTATAAGCATCGACCCCCCACCCTCAGGTAAGATATTCTAATCACATGCACAAAAATTATTTCCTTTTATAGAATTCATATATCAGTCGTAGAGTCATAGTAAAATATATCGAAAAATAAAATTATAATAAATTAAAAATTTTATTGTAAATAAAATATTTAAATAAAAAATTTTCAAGTGTTCTAAAATCCTAAGTTCCAAAGTCATTCAAAATCCGTTCTAAAATTGGAAAATCATGCAAAATTGTGTTCTAAAAATCACATTCTAAAAAATTGTATTCTAAAAATCACGTTCTAAAAAATCGTGTTCTAAAAATCACGTTCTAAAAAATTGTGTTCTAAAAAATTGGTTCAAAGCCTTTTTATAAAACAAGCAAATCAATATTCTACTTCTAGTATTAAAATGAGTCATCAAACCTTCTTATTTAGCTCTAAGTTTAATAAGAAACTGATCTATAATTCATCATCAAATAAGTATCAAGAATTCACCAATGCTTATATGTATAGTATTATGATTAAAACTGGAAATGGTACTCATAACCAAAATGATGTTTGTCACGAAGTTACAAAAGAATAGAATAAAATTAAAAGCAAAGTAAATCAAAAATTGATGAGATAATTAGGAATTATCTGATCACACCATATAATCTATATGATATACAGATAATGAGACCAAGGTGTCTTATACTTAGAGAAGATTTAACTCCTTTTAATCCTCCTATTATTCATACAGTAGATCCTGTAGTAGAAATTCCTATTAATAGATCTACTCAAAGGAAGGCAGCAAATGAGATATCAATAGCAGAAAAAATCTGAGCAAATCTATAATATCACAATAGATCCTCAAATTCGTCATGATATATATGCAAGAATAGTGAATCTTTGAGATGAAATCAAATCTAACAGGGAGAGGATTGTTAATTAAAAAGAAATGTAAATTATGCTCAAAAATGCAAAGAAAAAAAAGAAAACTACTTATTGAAAATCAGGAGGTGATATTATACGATAAATCCAGTCATTCTTCATTTCTTTACAAACATCCAAATTTGCATGATTATATTCATGATTTAATTGAATTTGAAGCAGCTGATGAAAAATGATGAAAAGAAGTGATTAAAGTGCAGATCATTGAAAACTTATACAAAAACCTTGAAAAGAATTATAATGTCAATATAGTGTAAACAACATTGAATAATTACCTACTGCCTCGTCAATCAAATTCTATTGCTACAAGAACATACCATCATTCATCATAAGTTGCAGTGACTGCAGTTTCACATACTGAGATGTAAGACTATCCTGATAGTCACTACTATCTTGCGTCTGTTAAATACGTAAAACAGTTACCACTGCTTTTGCTAATAAGTCTGTTATCATTTCTCAAGATGACAAGGTGAAGATAGGTCTTAGAATACCTATTGTAGATCAGACATTTTATACGTTACAGTCAATTTACGAACCTGTTCATATGATTGATCATAATTTTCCTACAGGAAGTAGGCAAAAGTTAGTCCTATCAGTTTATCTTATAATTAAACCAAATGAATTAAATGATGAATTATAAACTGGACAGCTTGCCATTTTTATACGTCAGCAATGGTCCCTTAATACGTTTTCAATCACACACATACAAGACTTTGAAAGGCTTATTTTAGATCTTCAATATAATGACATATTAAAGACCAATGAAGAAATTTGACCTATTTGGGTGTTACTAGTAGATGGGGGATCAAATGAGAATCTAAGGCATCTAAAAAATATTAAAATATACTGTTAACTTTTTTGAAAGTTTTATTTAGATTACTTGACAATATGAATACATGCTCTGAAACAATCTAAGTATAATTCTGTTAAAAGGAGAATAGCAATACTATCTGAAAAGTTGGCAGGTATTATACTACCAATTGATTACTTTAGAATACACTTAAATACATAAGAAAAAGTGATCAATCTGAAATTGGCTCTTCAAAACTTTTGATATACTAGAGAGAAACTTTGCAAAATTTGGTTTTACAACTTAATTTTTAGGAGAAGCGTGAATGCATAGTATATTGAAAAGCTTGCTAATCCATTCAGAGATCTGCAGTTTAAAGGTACAGATAAAGAAAAAGAAGAAAAACAGAAATGACAAAAAAAGAAACAAGAGAAAGAAAATGACTTACCAGAATGTTTTGTGCTATGGTCATAGATTGAAAAACACTGTAATCTCTATCAATATTTCCTTAATATTAAATAAACACAAACTGTTGTGAACTATCTCGTGTAAAAGAAATTACAGAATTTCTTTTTTTGAATAATAGTTTTTTACCTTCAATCACGAAAGCTAGAGACAGATATTTCACAAATCTTATACATCTTCTTGAGTATTATGATCTGTTGAAAATTCTTGGGTACAATTCACATTGCCCTTCCCTTGATCAAACAACTTATTTAAAACTTTGTTGCTTTAAGTGTAATAAATACTTTCTAACTCTTAGTTATTTGACAAACTATAAATGAACAATATATTCTGTAAGCTGTAAACAGCCTAAGAGAAAGTCTAAAGAATAAAATTCAAGAATACTTGATGATTTCTCTCTTATTCTATCACAATAGAAGCAGCTTTTTTTTGATAAAGTGTATTTAAAAGATTGTATGTTAGACGAAGAATGCATATTTTCAGTTATAGCATTTATACATGCATTTTATACATGCATGTAATCAATTATAAATACAGAAATAAATAAAATAAATATCAAATACAATATTGAGTATAAGTCATATTACATGACCAATCATATTATGTATAACCTAAGATTTTCTGTTACCTCCCACCCCCTAAAATATTAGGTAATATATGTCACTGCCCTTATAGAGAAATCAGCTTTTAAAAATTATGAAAATTAATATTACACATATGTAAAATAGCGATTTTTAGTAATTTTTGTGATTTTTAAAAGCTGATTTCTCTATAACTAATGATTCAGTTTTTACAATATTTGAAATACAAACTCTTAATTACTTAGAGAATGAAAATTAAGTATTCATTTTTATTGTCATTATTTTAAATAAAAAGTTAAAAATCTAATATTTTGTAAATCAAATAATTTATACAAAATTAAACTATAAATTAAGCAAAAAAATTATTTAAAATAATGCTGGAGATTTAGGGTTTAAAATAAATATAAATTTTTTATGCTAGCTTTCATAATTTATATTTTAAATTTAATGTGAAAGTGATGTAATACTTTTGATCACTATTGTATATATATATTGTGAACGGGTAAATGTGATGCAGCTTATATAATGCAGAAGAATGATCAATTTATAGATGATTTATTTGACATGTGTAACATATCAGACATAATCGACATAAATGACATATTAGATATAATAGATATATATTATATAACTGACATGTTAGATATATCAGACATATATGATATAACTGATATATTAAACAATAGCTAACATATTAGATATATTAGTTATATTTTTCTATATAATATATTTTATATAAATAGGTAACTTGTTAATTTATATAAAAGGAAGAGAAGATAGCTTAAGTAGTTTTAGCAGTGAGTGAGGTATTGTTAGCTGACGTAAGTAACCAATCCTGAAGGCCTATCACATTACGTTACAGTTTAGAGGCAACCAGGCCTATCACATTACGTTATAGTTTAGAGGCAACCAGGCCTATCACATTACGTTACAGTTTAGAGGCAACCAGGCCTATCATATTACGTTACAGTTTAGAGGCAACTAGGCCTATCACATTACATTTTAGTTTTAGTATTACTATTCTTTTCTTTTCTCTATTATTATTTTATTCATGAATAAACACAATATTTACAAATACACACTACTGGCAATCTGTTAAATCGTAACTCGTTGTGATAATATAAATACTTTAATAAATCGTTTGTGTTAAAACTTTTAAACTATTGGAAGATTACTGCTCAATTAAAAAGAACAAACCGCTCGAACACCCCATCTAACTGTTGTAATTTGCAAGAATTGCACGTTAACAATATATTTTATCTCACTTATTATGCAGTTTTGAATTACTAATAAGAAATATTTTCTGATTTACATATGAATCGTAAGATAGGATATTGTTAAAAAAAATTAAAAAATAAAGCTGATTAGAATCTATGATTTAAAAAAGATCCTCAGATAAATAGTAATTTTTTATTATTCTACTAATATCAACGTATTTAAATTATATATATAGCTAATAATATATTAATCTATTTTTGAATAAGAATTAGTAATACATGTATGATTTGTCATCTACAGATCTTAATTTATAATGAATAAATATTCTGATTTTTGTGATTACAATTGAAATAGGTATTATGAGTTTAAATAAAGATGCATTATATGTGTTCTTCTATTTTGCAAGAGATTTTAGAAATAAATAGAAAATTTTGAGACACAGCATTACTCTATTAGTATTATATTAAGTTATCATAAAACTTTAATTCGTCAGATTTACATTTAAATAATATTATTAAATTCAAAATTAGATATTTGTTATTATTAAATGTATTATATTAAATGAAAACCAGGCTATTATAATTATTTTAAGTAGAAAAATGAAATTATAAAAAATATAATTATGATAAATACATATATAAAATAAAGTAATTTTTTTATTAAATTAGGTTAAATTCTTATTTCATATATTATAGGCATACAGTATAAAATAAAGCTTTTCTCTA